CTGCAGGTGCAGTGAAGCGGTGGAGGTTCCAGGGGGTCACGGCGGCGGCATTCGGGTCCGAGGTGCGGAAGCCGGGGCGGGACGCCGGGGGTGTGTGAGTCGGGTCCCAGGCGGGCGGTTCACGTAGTTTGGGGAAGCGGCGGAAGATGTCTTGATCGGCGAGGGCGGCAAGGTCTGCGTCGGCGGTTTGCTCGGCCCCTTTGGAGGGGGCGTGAGGGATGCCGAGCTCTGCGTCAATGCCTTCGGGGAGGAACTTGATGGGCGGGACATGAAGCCAGCCGCCGTGGGCGAGCAGAGTGTCTGCGGCGAGTGTGGTGCCATCGGCGAGGTGGACGGTGTTGGGGCTGAGGCGGGAGACATCTCCGATGTGGACGGATACGGCGTCGGACTTTACGAGGCTCCAAAAGTCTGTTTCGTAGTTGAAGAAGCTGTAGCTGGTGCCAGAGTACATGACGCCGAGCCAGGGGCGCAGGCGGGCTGTGTCGGGGTGGTCGTCGTAGCGGTTCATGCCGAGGACGTCGGATGTGAGGGCGAACTAAGAGGTCAGGATTAGTGTCTAATGGAAAATTAGAAGTGGTAGGTACCCAAAAACCATCAACGATGGCGCGGCCAATGGCGGTGCCGTGGAGGAGACGACGGATGGTCGGGTAGCCGTCGGCAGCGCCCCAGATACAAGGGCTGAACCAGGTGAGGAAGCGGGTGTCTAAGAAGGTTAGGAGGCAGATTGATAGGGGACGAAGGGGCAGGACTTACTTGCGAGATGCTCGATCCATCTCTTCAGGGGCGTGGCATGTGGTGGCGAGAACCAGGAGGGGCCATGGCCAGATGCTGCTCTGGTCAGTATGTCCAAGAGTAAGCAGACGTCAGTACGAACCCCTGATGATCCAGTTGACCTTGACGCCGGCCATGGCGTACGCATAGACTGCATCAAAGGCCGTTTTACCCCCGCCCAGGACAGCTACCGTCCCTCCCGGACGAATAGTATCGGCATGTCGGGCAAAGTCTCTTCCATGGAAAATGAGTCCTCCAAAGGTATCCTGGCCTTCAAAGCGAGGCATACAAGGCTCCGAGGTGAGACCCGTGGCAACAATCATCTTCTTCGCAATGATCCTGGCCTGGATGCCGTCGGGCCCGGATACCGTGAGCAGCCAGCCTCCCTCAGGTGAATCGCGGTGCTCGGCAATGATGACCTTTGTGCGCAGCCTGACCAAAGGGGTGATGCCGAATCGGGAGGCGTAGGCGTGGAGGTAGTCGTTGACGACACGGCCGGGGATGTGCTGGCCAGGACTGACATCGAAGACGGCCGGGTCCATGGGGAAGTCTGGGTACTCGTATGTGCCGAGGAGGTTATTCGTCTTGATGCCGGGGTAAAGACGATGAGAAGCCCAGGTACCGCCCAGGTCTGGGGAAGCCTCGAAGACGGCGAGGGAGGCGGATGGGGAGGTACAGCGGAACTGTTTTGCGGCAGCGAGGCCGAACCAGCCTGGAGATGCATGTTAGACAAGACAAGCCGGCACCGATGAAGTGGTACTCACCCGCGCCAATGACCGCACAATCAAGCGTCTCCATGCTGAAGAGTCGAGTCGAGGGAAGCAAACAAAGCAGACCCGGGACGATCTGACCTGGGGTAGGCAGGCTGGGGGTGTCTTCTCGCCGGGGACGGGGTTATATAGGCTCTTAAGAAACGGTACACGGCGCACAAGACGGAAACGGGCCGCATCGGCGCACCAGCACGACCAGAAACACGCAGCCAGCAGGAGGAAGAGCAGCAATTTCCCCGCGTCTTTGCCGGTCACGTTGGGCCGGGCGCACAGGCGGGAGGGGTGGCCGTTTCCGATGGGGGCGGCGCCATGGCTGAGCGGGAGATGGAGGCAGTCGAGGATGGGAGTGAGTGGTCAGCATGCAGCCTTGCCGTGCAGCGGTAATGGCCGAGGGAGCTTGAGACCGTTGGTGGTGGAACGAGATACCATAAGCGCTAGTTTTGGAGGACCGTTACGCTAGGTCCAGGGGTGGAAGTTGATGCGCGGCATTGGTGGTTCATACGCGTAGGGCGGGTAAGCCAGCGATTATGGCATGCATGCGGCTGGGCTGGCGGGCAGATGTATGTTGGATGCAGGTGCCGGGATCGATGCGGCCTCGTCGGGGGTGTGTGTCCAATGATTGACGCCGGAGGGGGGGGTGTTGAGGTAAGGGAGGGGGCAAGTTGGCCGAGGGTCAAAGAGCGGGCGGGCAAGGCGGGCGGTCAGTGGGAGTATGCGGGCGGGTTTCCGGGTCGAGGTGTATGTTTGCCTGGGAGATGTGGTGGTGGTGGTGGAAGTGGGATGGAAGTGGTGGTGGTGGTGAGGTTGGAGGAGTGGAGGAGGAAAAGGTACGTACCCCAAGTACCATTGTATCATCACGTGGCACGTCCAACCTCACCTCACCCACTCACTCACCTCACTTCATCAGTCCGAGTCCCTCCAATCGTACACTCCCCCAATACCACAATCTATTATCGTCCTCAGCCTCGCCATGCACCTCTCCCGATATTCAGCCACATCGGGACACTCCATCCCGTCGAGTCCTCCAACTAGTCCTGCCCGTTCCCGTGGAGGAGATGAGACCACTACCCAGACCACCACCATGGAAATGCAATGCACTGGCTCAGCCCGGGTCCCGGCAGATGCACCTCCATGCAAGACATCTCCAGACAATTCCCAAGACAAAGAGCACACCACTCTCTCTATTCAGGCCACATCTACCACCCCCTTTGTGTCCCCTACCCCTTGCTTCACAGTTCCCCCGGCCATCTGGCCGACTAAGCAGCAATCAAGCAGCAAGCACAGTACATCTCCCATATCGACCGCATAGTAGTTGCCATGTCATGCTTCGCCCGTTGCCCCCGACGATTACAATGCCTTGCCTCGCTGCCTTGGCCTGGGCCTGCCCTGCTGCCAGTACCCGTCACGAAAAAACCCAACTGCCATTTTGACGTAAAAAAAGTCCGCCTCCTGCCCTTTCTGCCACAAATTTGTATCAAAGTGCACATGCAGTTTGCCCAGGTCGGCGACTCACGACTCACGATCCCAAGTCGGTGCCTCGATCCCTCGCGACTAGTGCACCTTCTCCCACGCCTTTCAACGACGCAACGAAAACACGCTGCAAAGTGTCCCCCACCCCCCTAATTCCTCCATCTTCTGTTTCCTCCTCGTCAAGCCTCTTCCGCTCAAGACACACCTCACCTCCCCCCCAAGGCAAGCCTCTGGTCCGCCTCACCTACGCCTCTTCCACTCCTTGACCCCCTTTCCCCAAGCCACGAAATCCTCCCTCTCTCTCACTTTTGCCCAGTCTTCCGCCTCTCCCCCTCCACCATGGCCTCGGGCCCCGTTGACCCCGCCGCCGAGGCCGCTGCCAAGGCCGAAGTCTTCTACCGCGAGGTATGGGCTCTGCTGGGTGTTGCAGTCCTCATCATCGCCCTTCGCACCTACGGCCGCATCCGATCCGTTGGTTTTGCCAACTTCCAGCTGGACGACTATCTCGTGTGGCTTGCCTTGGTATGTCTCTCCTCTCCCACATGGCGCGTCTTTTTCTGACTTGTCTTCAGCTCTTCTATAGTGGAGAGAGTGTTCTGGCCTGGCTCGTCGGATACCTCGCCCATGGAATCGCCAACAATGGAATGACTGATGAGGAGAGGGCCAACCTTTCCCCTACCAACCCCGAGTATCAGATGAGGTACGCTCAAAATTCCCCATTCTCATGAGCATGTCCTAACATCTGTCAGAATTACTGGTTCCATCATCCAACTCTGCGGCTGGACCAGCTACTCCATCGTCCTCTGGCTCCTCAAGGGTTCCCTCCTCATGCTCTACCGTCGCCTCACCGTCGGCCTCTCCCGAATGTACACCATCCGCGTCACCATCGGCTTCTACATCGTCGCATGCTCCTGGCTCATCGTCACCCTCAACCTCTTCCTCTCCTGCCTCCCCCTCCACCGCATGTGGCAGATCTACCCCGATCCCGGTCGTAAGTCCCCTCCCCACCACCCCTGAAAACCCTCCCCTAACTTTGTCCAGCCCGCTGCTACCCAGCCACCTCCCCCCAAGTCGTCTGGATGTACTACGCCTTCAACGTCTCCACAGACTTCTACCTCCTCTCCATCCCCCTCCCTCTCCTCTGGGGCTCCCGTCTCCGCCCCCTCAAGAAATTCGGCCTCGTCTGCCTCTTTGGCGGCGGCTTCTTCGTCATCACCTGCGCGACCCTCCGCGCCTTTTACATCGTCACCAACCCCATCGAAGGCGCCCAAACCGCCGGCTCCTGGGCCGTTCGCGAGACCTTTGTTGCCCTCGCCACCACGAACCTCCCCCTCGTCTTCCCCGTCGTCCGCCAATGGGTCTCCCCCATCATCGGCCCCATCATCTCCTCCGTCCGCTCCAGCAAACGCGCCAACAACATGGGCACCTCCACAGCTACTCCCCGTGTCGGTAACCGTACCTTTGGCTCCGGCGCCCTCGGTCCCCAGGGCTGGCGCGGTCGTGGTCCTCCCACCCCCAACCCTATTCCCGACATGACCTTCAACGACAGCGATGAGCGTTTTGTCACCGACGGCTTCAATAGCAGCGAGCTTCAGGACGCTTCCGCCTGGGGTGGCACTAAGAGTGCCGACACCAGCGCCGTCCTGATGGACCAGCAGAGCGAGGCTGACCCCGAGGATGCCGCCGGAAACACCTCCATCATCCACAAGCAGGTCGAGGTCAGCATCGTTCGCAACAACCGTCCTGACGAGACCACCCTCCGTCCCGGCACCCCCGACGACCAGCCCTGGGCTCTGCGCAGCCACAGCGCCTCTGCCAGCGGTCCTGGTCCCATCTTTAAGCGCCAGTCGCATTAAAGTCGACTTCATCATCATCACCTTCGTCACGACCCCTTAAAGGTCACGACCCCTTTTCGGGGTCCCGCTTCGCACAGCTCGCTCCGCTTTCTGACCCTCACAGGCCCTCCACAGCCATGTTCTACCATCAATTGGGCGATTGGTCTAGTGGTATGACATCTGCTTAGCACCGACGGAGAATTGCTCTTTCGAGCGAATCCCGGTGATACTGCTGAAGGTCCCGCGTTCAATTCGCGGATTGTCCACAACACAGCGGAATACATTTTCCTTCCTTTTTGCTGCCCTCGAGCAGCACTGCACACAGACACACCCTTTCCTACACATACCCCCTTGCCTTCCGTAGATAGCTCAATGAAATGGAACTTGTCCGAGTTTTTCGCGTTTCGCGTCACACAAGTGACCATGCTGCATCCTCGTGTCACCACACCCACACACGCACCAACTCAGCAAGGAAAAAACCGCCCCCCCGCGGCTCGGGCGCGGGACTGTCAGCGTGTGCTGTGGGAGGACGCACGGCAGCATTATTTTGTCTGTCGCATGGGACGGACGGGTCGCCCGGGCCCTGCGTGGGAGGCAGCACAAGGTCCGCCCCCCTTTTTGTCCGGCCTCCAGCGTGGCCAACGGGACTGTCATGGGCGCGCGCATGTTCGCCCCGTCGTCGTATGACTCTGGGGTTCGTTGCCTCGCCTTGAAGCACTGCGTGTCGCAGCCCGGTTCAACAGGTGTTGCGTGTCTTGCACGGGAGGGGAGTTGCGGGAAAGAGTTGCGTGGTTGACGGGAAGGAAGTCTCCGTTGTCGGACGTGACAGTCCTCATACGTGCGTGGAGTACTACACCTGTCCTACATCTCGAACCTCTTCTTCCCGCCCTCCGACTTCTCCACCACCTGTCCACTGATCTTGACCTCGTCGCCCCTCGCCAGCTTCTTGTTCGCCCTCCAGTACACTCCCATGATGGCCCCGGAGATAGGGATGGCAGAGGCGTAGAGGAGCAGAATCGCCAGGAAGGCCTTGTTGTACCGCGGTGCATCATCGTCCCTGAACAATTGACTTCCCGCTAATCCGCCCATGTTACTCCCCATGACCGCCAGAGCGAGCCCAATACTGCGATTCGACGGCCTCACAGCGTTGATACTGACCCATGCGTCGTTCAAGCCCTGTGACAGCGCATTGCCGCCGCTCAAGAGCGTAAACACAGCGTACCGTGCCCACTTGTCTGTTCCCGTGGGAAGGCCGAAAAGAGCACCTGCAAAAATGATAGACCAGGAGAAAGCAACCATGCACCATGGCCCGCGAAGGTGAGTGCGGTCTGACGCGATGGAGATAACCCACGATAGCGCGATGACGAGCACGCTGCTCACGGCGTTGAGGAGGTTAGCGTGCGTTCGGGAGAAGCCGAGCCCCTTGATGATAGTCGGCCCGTACAGCTGTAGGCCGCCCTTGGGTGCCAGCGCCACAATGTTGAGAGCCATGTGCATCCACAGCCGGTAGTCAATGAGAGCCTCACCCAGGCTTCGGAGTGTAATGTTCGCCTTGTCGGCGCCCTTGGTCACGTCGTCTGCCAAGATCCGCGCACGGAGGATCTGCCGCTCGCGATCGTTGAACAAGTCGAACCGTCCATGAACAGGTGCCGTATGCGCTGGGCTGCGTGGGAGGAAGGCCACGAACGCCACGAAGACGAGAAGGGTAATGGCGCCTTCGATGATGAAGAGCCATTGCCACCCGGCCATGCCCATGGCGCCACCCATGTTCAGGATGCCCGCCGCGATGAGCGATCCAGTCGCTGTCGCAGAGTAGTTGCCAAAGTAGAAGATGGCCGTTCGGGTAGCCAGCTCTTGGCGCGTGTAAAACAGTGCCAACTGGATAGGTTACGAATCAGTTTCTTCCTTGACAGACTGGGCTTGGAGGCCAAGAAGCATGAACAACCCCCGATACAACGGGGCAGAGCTTACCATGTACTGGCCACCAGGGATATAACCACCCTCAAAGACACCCAGCAGGAATCTCGTTGCGAGGAACGAGTCAAGGTTCGTGCACCAAGCTTGAGTCAAGGCGATGGTGCCCCAGACGAACATCTGGAACGTCAACCAGATAGGTGCCCCAAGCCGCTGCAGTATAATGTTGGATGGAATCTCGGCAATGATGATGCCGGCCGACATGAGCTGCGAGCCCAGGTTGACGTCGTTTCGAGTGATGCCAAGGTCCTCCACGATGGTGTCGGTCATGGCATTGCTCATGTTGCTGCGGTCGAGTTGGAGGACGAAGAAGCCGGCGACTAGAAGGGGCATGAGGTAGAAGTCAAGCCTGGAGAATTAGCACGCTCCGTGGTCGTTGTCAAGGGGCGACTTACTTCCTGACGGCAGCACGCTCCTCTTCGGGTGCCCATTCTGGCTCAGGAGACTCGTCCTTGAGTGCGACCTCCTGAATATCGTTGGTGACCCCGATGGGGTCTCCCTGTGGCTCTTCGATAGATGCTTTGGCCATGATTGCGAAACAAAGGCTGATGCTGCTTCCCCCAGACTACAACTTTGGGGCAGCGGACGGGATAGATATACCCGGAATCGGACCCCTCTCGACCTGCCTCGTCCTCTACCACAAATTGCTGCTGTCGTGATGCATGGCACTGAGCACGCCATGATGCTGTGGAAGTAATGGCGATAATCTGTCGGTGGTGAGCGACGGAGGTGTGCCTCTTGCTGTCGCAGGGAGATAGCGCCGCCATGAGTCGCGATAGTCTTCGGCGGTGGCCGTCGGAGGTGAGCGTTAGCGGCTCCGGGTTCGGCATGCGGCCGCCGGAAGGACCGTGGGTACCCGATCACGACATTGGGATCTTTGGCACCGAGGAGACGCGTCCGTCCTCTTTTGTGGCCGTCCGTTCCTCGTTTCTCGTCCTTCAAGATCAGCCGGCCTCAGTAGCACTTGCAACAGAGAGCCGACATCTCTGAGCTTGTCAGCACCACCGCCGACATGTCTAGAGACCCGACACGCCCCAATGTCGTCCTCATCCTCGCCGACAACCTCGGCTGGGGTGAGCTTGGCTGCTACGGCGGCGGCGAGCTTCGCGGCGCCGCGACTCCTCGTATTGACAAGCTGGCCACCGAAGGCCTGCTCTTCCACAACTTCAACGTCGAGAGCGACTGCGTCCCGACCCGATCCGCCCTTATGACCGGCCGACACCCCATTCGAACGGGATGCCGCCAGTCCGTCCCTGCCGGCTTCCCTCAGGGCCTCACGGCATGGGAGAGGACCCTTGCCGAGTGCCTCAAAGACAATGGCTACACGACTGCCCACCACGGCAAGTGGCACCTCGGCGATATTCCTGGTCGATACCCCTCCGATCGTGGCTTCGACGAGTGGTTCGGTATTCCCAGGACCACCGACGAGACACAGTTCACCAGTGCCTTGGGGTACACCCCCGAGATTGCCGAGCTCCCCTACATCATGAAAGGTAGGGCAGGCGAGCCCTCGGAGAATGTCTGCGTCTACGACCTCGAGAAGCGCCGCCTGATCGACGAAATGCTCGTCGAGAGGTCTAAAGACTGGCTCTCCCGCCAGGTCCAGGCTGAGAAGCCCTTCTTCCTCTACCACCCGCTTGTGCATCTGCACTTCCCGACGCTGCCGCACCTGGACTTTGCGGGAAAGACGAAGCAGGGAGAATTTGCCGACTCAATGGCCGAAATGGACTACCGTGTAGGCGAGATACTCGATCACATCGATGCCCTGGGCGTCAGGGACAACACTGTGCTCATCTTCGCCTCGGACAATGGCCCCGAGTTCCGGGCACCGTACAAGGGCACCGCTGGTCCCTGGTCGGGCACATACCACACGGCGATGGAGGGCAGTCTCCGCGTGCCATTCATTCTTCGCTGGCCCGGCCACGTCCCGACTGGGGTGACTACCAACGCCCTCGTCCATGTGACTGATCTCTTCACGAGTATTCTGTCCATCACGGGAACCATGGTGCCTTCGGACCGACCAATCGACGGTGTCGACCAAACGGCCCTTTTCCGAAAGCCGTCCGAGGTCGAGTCGCCACGTCAAGGCTTCCTGTTTTATATCAAGGAGGAGCTTCGTGCCATTAAGTGGAAGGACTGGAAGCTGCACCTTGTCTGGGAGCCCAAGGTTAATCAGTCGAGCGGTCGGCTGGAGTCACCGTACCTGTTCAACGTTGTTAGAGATCCCAAGGAGGAAACGGACATTTTGGCGTACAATACCTGGGTCCTGCAGCCCATGTTCAAGCTGAGGGCCGAGTTCCAGAAGAGCCTGAAGGGAGACCCGGCACCTCCGGATCCGCTCAAGGAGTTGTAGAGATATCTTCACAAGTTTCAATCCAAAGAGCAAGTGAGCCATGTGTTCGTATTGTGCTGTGCCTGTCTCCGTCGTGTCATGAGAGTAGACCGAACCCCCAGTAGAGCGTGTCGACCGCTGTCTGAGGCAGATCAATATCAGCAAATGCTGCAGAGTCCTGCCCGAGAGAAGGCAGCATGTCCCCCGCCGAAGTCTCTGCCGACTTGAGTACCGAGTTGGCGAGGACCTCAAAAGCATCCCGATACACCCTGCCGGCAGGGTATCTCTCCACCATGGCCCATAAAATGGACACGCACATGTTGACCGAGGCAATCATGTCTGCTTGGTTGAGGCCCGCGTAGCTGTGTGTGGATTGAATGTGGACACAGTACGCCATTGCCACGCCGCTGCGGAACAGATTGTGTGTCGTACGCCAGAAGAAACGAAGCTGGCCGTCACGGAAGGTGGTCTTGTATGCACGGATGCATTCGGCAGCGCTTCTGGCCAGGATCAGCATGTCGTGCTCCGAGGGGTTGGGAAACGATGGCGACGGATAGTAGAGCATGACCAGGTTGATGTTGAGGATGCCCTCGAAAATGGTTAAAGGAGCTAGCTGGGTGGACTTTTCCACCGAAGAGACAGGCGCTGCGTGGACCCATTCAAGCAGCCGCTGTCGCATGCCCTCCCTCCACGAGAAGATGTCGAGGGCCGCACCGTTGGAAGGCATCTTTTGGTGCAGAGTTGTGTAAATCTCAGACTCAAACAGGCGATGCTTGATCAAGTGAAGGGCGAGTGCTCGATCTGGATTCCCATCTGGCAGGTCCGGCAAGGCTGTCTGGATGGCTTCATCCGGGATCGAGAAGGGGCGCCCAATGATGACGCAGAGGTTGCGATCGCTTGTATACAATGCCCAGAAGAGCCACCGCCGCTGGCCGAGCAGATTTGGTGACAGATTTCCGG